CTATGCAAGCTCCCGTAGACATTAGCTGTCTTCCGGCTAAGCTCTATCTTTCTTGAATACGAACTTAGGGGGTCTACGGCGCTCCCACGTCGAGCTGTGTCAGTGGCGGGACCCGTGGGTGCTACCCATGGTCCCTTACCCCCGGCACACCACGCAGCGTAATAAGAATCATGCTATTAGAGTCTTCAAACAACCCACAAACAGCCTACGGCAAAGGGGCACGTGTAGGCTTGATTGGTGTAAAACCTTCCCAGATGTCTCTGGTGCTACCCGGGACTACTCTGGGGACCCTTCTGGATAGCTCACGCTAACTCCGTCAGTTTTGGTCCGTTTTACTCCCTTCTTTTTGGAGAAGGTACCTGACCTTCTCACCTTCACCCCCTTATATATCCTGCGAACAGCGTCCGGTCGGACGGACAGCAGCGACGTATACAGTGTTATGGACATGTCTCCATGAACTCCATTTAACTAGTAAGACGGCAACTCCACCCATTTTGGCCCATGACGCCCAGGGCAAACCCTGGGGCCGCAGGTACCTGTTAGGAATAATTCTACCAAGTTACAGCTTGTTTGGAGCACTATAGCTCCTCCTGTAGTCTTCCGATCAAAAGGCAAACAAGTGTCCGTCAATCGTCATTGCGTAACAAACAATCCTAACATTTCCTGAAATTCTTCCGAGAACGTTTCCGACAGAAGGTAGGGTAATAGTGTCCCAAAGATACCGTAAGTATGTCCATGGTAACACGAAACCGGTCTCCATGGTCGGGTAACGTGACTTCCTTAGACCGGGTAAACTCACTCGGCCTTCTGTCCTATCCTTAGACCAGAGCGGACATTGTCACGTTACTACCACTACTTAGGTACACCATTTCCTTAAGTACCTTCTGTTCTTAGAGATATCTTGACCAACAGATAGCCCTCGGATATGCGCCTGCATACCCACCTCGTCTACCATCTGACATCTTGGTCTTATGTATGGGCATAGACGTAGGTTACCATAGCTCTATAACGTAGGGTCATTACACTCGTGGCATTGCCTGAATAGGGAGTGAGAGATGCAGAAAGAGCATGTTCATAATGAAAGGGTTTGACCAACTATGGCAAGAAGCCGCAAGGGGGGGGGGGAGAAAATTGGTCCTACTAAACATCACGAGATGTAATAGCGTAGCCGGGATGGCCCTGTAGAGTTCAAGTCAATAAACATCAGTCAAATGTGAGCAGATCTCCATATTGGAGGCGCTGTAGTGGACAGCATCCAGATTTTATAATAAGTGTACACCCAGGATTCCGAAGGCACCGTAACCCTGGCCTAGAATTCCGGACTCCAAAACAATCAGGGTAGCCTCACGGTGAAGGCATCCTGACCTGGCCAGTTTCACCTGTACCAAATCTAGATACCTAACCAGGTAAGTCTAGAAGCCCAGATGTGAGCGCCAGGCACGAGATAATCTGGAGGAGAACATAACGCATCACAACATCCGGGGTTAAGTCATATCATCTGGACGCAGACGCCCTGGATTGTGGGGTACCAGGAGGGGGAAGATATAGATCGCTAGCTCCTGACCAGATCATGACGGGATCAGAGCGGGAGGGATCTCCCGAGGCGACAAAGGGCAGTCTAGGTCTGTCGGGATGCTAGGCGGAAGAATTGGGGTGACTCAGGACGCTACCAGGACCCAAAGAGGGGCGTTCAGACACAGGGGCAAGATGGCCACAGTTTTCAGGATACATGGCACGCAGGGGTCAGCGTCCAGATAACATCCGGATACGGTGTGGCGCAGAAGCAGGGGTCCAGACGTCAGGGGCAGCGCCAGTGCGTCCTGATTAACGGTTTGCATCCTGTGCGTCCTGTGCGTCAGATGCACAGGATGTACAGGATGCAAGTTGAAATTTTTCCTGATGCGGGAGATAGGCTCCACTGGCTTTTACTGTCTGTCATCGCCCCCTTTATATTTACTTTGTATTTGTGTTAGGACCCTGGTTTGTAGGGTGCCCTAGATTGTTGATGGTGTGGTAGCTGTGGTGCCGACCCTCGAGGTGTCTCAGGTTGATTAATACGGTGCAAGGGGTGTGGCTACTATGCCTGCCTCAACAGATTACTTAGGGGAGACTGGCTTCGTACCGCCCCTCTGTCATGGCCCTCCTGAGAGACTAGTACCCGAACGCTTTCTTGGACACTGGGTGGGGTTGGTGGAGGAGGATTTTTCTTGTTTGATGATTTGATGAGGGATTTGGTGCGAGACCGGAGCCGTGCTGCCAGGTAGTGGAATTTTGATTGTGCTAGGATTCCCGTAGCCTGGCTTGGTGGGGTGGGTGGGTGCTGAACAATTGATAGACTTGTACTTTAGCTATGGTATTGCTCCTCACTCACCAGAGTGGTTAACGGTATGGGGACGGAGGACTGGTATCTTGTATTTAGTTGATATCTGGCTCGCACTTACTCCTGGCCGGAGGGGAACTAGATTATGTGCCATGTTTTGGCATGACTAGTATAAATAAAATTAGATTAAATTCGGACACCTGTACCTAGGAATTACCCTCTCTATTATCTGGCATCCTCTTGAACCCCTGAACCCTGACCCTGAACTCCTAAATCCTGAACCTCGTACAACTCGCTTCGGTTGTACCCTCACACCTAGACCTCATCTCCAGAATCGTGTCTGCCCTGATCATGGTATGCCTTTTACTATCCAACCCCCAGACCCTGCCCATTACCAATAGTCCTACTCTCCAAACTATGTTTTATAAAAATACTTGAAATATCCAAGCCTGCTTTCAGAAGCCCTCAAATCCTACTCTTTGAACTCAGGTATTCCTTCCCTCTCAAGCTCTCTTCATGCAACCTGCACTCCTTACTAAAATTTCCAATTTCACTCTCCAAAGTGCCTCCTCTACTTCTCTTGCTGTATTCAATACTAGTTGTTATATCCTAGATGTTTCCTCTCTCTAATTCCCATCTCCTGGGACTGCAAAAGTATTAAACCCTAACTGTACAATTTTCCAGAATTTGTCTCTCCACAGCCACCTCCTTTGAGACTACTAGAGTACTCTTATGGCTGACCACTAGATGCCCTGTCACCCCACTGTCCTGATCATCAACCCTCAGTAGCCCTAATAAGCCCTAGCCATTTTCTTCTCTTACTCTTACAGCAGGTAAACTGCTTATTGTAAGACTCTGAAGCCTATTCTTTAAGGCATTAATGGATGAACCCATGCCTGACTCTGTTAGTGTATCACAAACTGTGACTAAGCCAGGCAGATTGTACATAGCCCGGAATTCTGACCTATAGGTATGTTGGGATTTTATATGATGCACACTACTACGCTATAGGTTATTATGTTTACCTGTTAGTAACTCACAGTTGTGAGTCACATGATGTTATAATTTTCGCACATGACTCAATTTATGAGTCATGGGTTTCACTCATGTAACGCGAGTTATGCACCTGACCTAGTTATTATGTTTTGAATAGTTTTAGGTATATTGAGCAGCAACTCATAGGAGTCAGCTGAGGGATTTCACGTGACTCATAGTTCTGAGTCACAGGGTTCACATGACGCAAGGTATGAGTCACGCCAGGTGAAGAACTACTACATAAGAGATCGCCAGGACCCCTAGTATTAGCCCCCCACACGTTCTTCTTGTTTATTTCCTACCTTTAAGTTATTACAATAAAACCGACCTTTACACTCTTTAAGATTTATCTTAAGATACCCAAGAATTGTCTTCCCTCCCAAGCGAGAAAACTATTTCTCCTCCCACGTCGAATGACTAAGTCCTAAGCAAGGACTTAAGAAGATCAGAGGAATAGGCGCGATAAGATAGAAGTCAAAAGGACTTAGCTATCTACATTACGTAGGCATCGGTCTAAGAACTATTACCTCGATACGCATTAAGAATTGTTACCTGTCGCACCCCAGTGCCCAGTAGGATTCTTAACATAGTGTATTTAAATCATGTCCAGCAGGGGCCTGGACTGTTGTTGTTCTTTGCAGTTCATTCCTTGTCAATGCCATTGCACTTTGCATAGCCTGCAGGTATATATTTTGGGCTACTGAAATAGCTACCCCAGTATGAGTTCTCATTGCTTGATACTCAAACTCAAGCGTATGCATGGTAACAACTGCCCCCTGCCTCCTTAGGGTGATCTCTTTTCCACATATCTTGTTTTGTTTTGTTAGCTCCTAGTCATTCTTTCATATATTACACAAGGTTTACTTACGTTTCATAAGATCTGGAGGAGCCACTCTGTTATTGTTTATTGATCAGGAAGGTGATCTGGTCACTAGCAACATGTGCTCCCAGATTTACCCTAAGCAATGTTTTCTGCCAAGCTCTCAGTTACCCAACATCCAGGTAACTCCTCTTTTCCGATTATGATTACTTAAAAAATCGCCTAGTACAGTAGCGTACTTTTGAAATAGGCTAGTGGAGTACACTGCGATTTTTAAAGTAATCGGAACGCGAAAAATAGATTTACGCAGCCCGGGTATACGTGAGAGTTCCGGCAGCTCTGCTTGGCTAACAATCACCGCTCTAGCTGACGCACTTGGCTGTTCTACTTATGCAAGTATATTCGGGTTGGATAACTTACGTTCTGATTACTTTAAAAATCGCCGAATCCCAGCACAGTTACGAGTTGCAATTTGTGCTTTGCCATTTTAGCACTTTCCCGAACTGAGGGCGACCCTACGCGCTCTTAAAATTTGCATAACTCTTTTTCGGCAGCTGGGCTGGGTGTCTGTAACCTGATAATTTAGGGTTATAAGTGCCAGGGATAATGTTTTCGTACAGTTAATTTAGGTTGAGCCGCAAAACAATCCCTGTGCCGTATTGTACGAAAACATCTCCCCTGGCACTTGTATGATATGCTACCCTGATGCTGCTACCGGTATCTCACCCTTCAAGGGGGCAATTTGGGGTGAGTCGTTCAACAAGGGCCTGGTTACCCGGACAAAATAAGTGATCTATGGTTGCAAATGGAGAGGGGGAATCTGCCGGCTTAAGTTACTCACCGTTAGATGACATTACCAGCACTCTACTGGTACTCGTACAGTACCGTATCCGACCCTCACTCTATTTCCTTCTTTTTTCTTTAATTTTCCCTAACCTGCTGACTCTCTTCATATCATACAGTCTACCGGTACAAGTACAAGCACCGTACTAGCACCGTACTGTGCTCGTTCGAGCAGCAGGGTGGGAATGCCTGTACTCAGTACAGGTACGGCACAAGTTAAGTATGATACTGTACAATACGGTGCCGAGTTACATCGAACAGATTTACAGCATCACTCTCTCGCTCTTTGGAACAGATCCCAGACCAAATGTTACACACACTCTCATTCGAAACGGAGAAGAGGCCTCCCAAGAGAAAAGCTGGTCCATTGCGAATCTAGCGTGGGTTTATCAGGGAGATTGATCAGATTTGGTGGGCGCTAGAGACTCAACTTAGTTACTGAGGGCATTCTCCGGAACAGAATGAGGAGCAGGAGGACGAAGGGGCTGGATCAAATGGGCACGATACCTGTAATTTGTGTCTAATGAGAGCGAAGGCTGAAAGCCATGAAAACTTTTAGGGGGTAAAAGGCGAAAGAAAGAGGGAATGTCTCACATCCCCCTCTCACTCACTTCCGCTTTCTCAGCTTCTCCCTCTTCCCCCTTCTCCCTTCCCTTAAACACCAGAGGGTTCCGTCCGATCGAGCAATCTACATTGTCCTATCATACCTTTACTAGTACAGGCACGCCAATACTATAATCTATCCTACGGAACGCGTCCCGGAGGGAAATCATGTTTTCACAGCTGCTCCTTTTCGCTTTGCTCTTATGTAGCTTGGCCTGTGGTGCCCCACGGGGTGCCGAGCCAACGCCTTCGAACCCATCGCTGGTCGTGCCGGTAGTAGAGATCACTCCGGCTCCGACGATGCCACCCGTTGTGGCCGAATTGCTCCGCCGGAGTTCAAATCCTGCCATTGTCCCTAGGGATGATTCGGATTTGATGAAACGGCAGGCCTGTGGCGCCTTTTATGTTACTTGCGATACCGGTAGCTGCTGCTATATTGGCCAAGAATGTTTTAGGAATTCTGCCGGGGTAGATAGTTGCCGATATCCGTACTTCCTCCAATATCCCTTTTTTTCTCTCTCCTTTCCTTTGAAAATCCGACCAATAACCGTTGACCGAATTACAGTGAAATGTTTGACTATTCGTCACTTCTATCATCACTGACGGCAATTTACGGAGGGTATTCGTACAGTAATGATGCCGAGTTATACTCCAGTATTTATGCTTCGTATCTGAACCTTTTCACGTCTTTACCGGGTGGGCGTCCTACCGGGGGGTCTAACCCACCCGCTAGTACTGCTAAAACCGGATCATCGAGCTCTAATTCCGGCTCTGGCAGCAGCTCCAGCTGGGGCGACACCACCACTAGCACTAGCAAAAAGAAGTCCAACACAGGCATGATAGTTGGAATAGCTGTGGGCTCAGCAGTAGGTGTCGCTATCATAGCGACCATAATCTGGTATTTTTGGAGGAAACGCAAGCCAACTCCGACCCCTTATCCCGCGGGCATGGCGCAAACAGGCACTACACCGTTCCAACAACATCCAGGATCGCAGCCCGCGTATGCTGGCCAGGCTGCTCAGGTCGACATAAAGCCTGCGCAAGTGTACCAGTTCCAGCAGCAGCCACTTGCAACAGAGATCGGTGGGACGGGAATTGCACCGCAACAGGCGCCTTCAGGGAACGCGTCCTATGCTGTGCAAGGTGCTGGGTATCAGGGACCGATTTCTCCACCACCCACGCACCCATCTGCTCAGGAGATGAGTGGGGATACGCAGTTCTTGCCGCACCAACAGCACCCACAGCACCCACAGCATCCACAGCAACTTCAGTACGGGCCTCCTAGAAATGGGACGCTGGGACCACCTGCCGAGATGGATGCGGGGCAAGGAAGATAGTGCGGGCTGTGCGTTTCTGGCTTGGATAAGGGCTTATACGTTTCATACGGAGTTGGTTGATACTTTAATTTTCTGAGATTGGGTATGAGTGGGACCGCGTTTTTGTCTTTGGGTACTGGTGACTTGATGAGGGGAGGGTAATGGGAGCTATGGCTCATGTCAATATGTTCTTGTAGATCAATGAAATCCGAATTCATTATGTCCGGGTTGAATTTTGAATCACCGCTGTTTGAAACTTGGGTGAAGAAGTCGCGTGAGTGACAACTGGGAGTGGGGGTCGTGGCGAGAGCAGTGGCAGATTTTTGATTGGGTATGTCCCATTCGACCTTCAAACGGTTCTAGACTCGAGCTCGAGCTTGGGGTGGGGTTGATGTCAATCTTCAAAGCTGTGCCAGCTGCTTGTTGGTACATGTCTCGGCAGGTGCAGATCATGACTGTATTTTCGGGTTTCGCCCAGGGTTGTTTCTCGGTGCGCCAACACACACTCTCTCCTCCGGTCCCGGAATACAAGTATGGTTCCGGAAGGCTAGTCACTATACCAACTTTCACACCAAAAATGTGACGATTCCTGCGGCAACGGCAACCGTAACACTATGCTAAATGTTTACCCTACTGCCTTAAGTTGAAAACCCTGACTGTCTAAATCAAAAATGTGAGTTAGAAATTAAATAAATATATATATACCAGGTGGTAACAGGTGCCAACATTCAAAAATTAAGAAACATCATACCTCACCATCATGGATAAAGATCTCCAACTCCAACAGCGGCGTACCGCAACACGTGACTGTGTACGAAAATGTCGTGCTGCTCATCCTCTTCCAGTTTCATCGATCTGATCAACTCCTATGTCAAATACCGAATGATCTCACAAGTATCGCTTGAAGAAGAAAGAAAGTCAGCAACCTGTTTCTATTCTGAATCCTGTTGTAGATAATACACAGGAAAATACAGCAGTTCGAGAATCACAATCTTCATGTGAACGGATGAGAAAATATCGCCAACGACTGCAACAGCGTACTGGATATCAGAAACAAAGTGCTCTTACCAACAGAGAGAAATGTCGACGATATTATGCTCGGAAGCAGCAGCAGCAACTGCAAAGTCAAGTGGCCCAACAGTCTGCCCAAGGGGGAAGAAATGAAGCCGGACTTTATGAAAGTTCTGAAAGCCAGCATTCTCATTTACAAGCTACAGAGTTACGTAAGCTTGCATATGCAAGCTGGCCACGGCTTACAGGTGATTGCAAAGAAATAAGGGAGGAAATTCTAGAGTCAGCATTCAAACGCCTGAGGACAAAGATTAGGTCCATGAAAAGAGAAAGACTAGCAGGTATTCAGAATCTGCAACTCGATTGGAATCTACAGCTTTATATGTTCATAAAGCTACAGCTCAAGATGGAGAAGAAATGGAAATCTGCAGAGCTAAAACGGATGCCAACAGATCCTATTACAACAAAGAAGTCGAGAAAAGAGCTAGCTATGCAGGTAGCAAAGTCTGGAGGGTGGGGTACCTGGGTAATGAATCAGATTTTGAAACAAGAGGTGGAATATATAAAAATAGGAAAGCTTCCAGCACCAAAGCAAGGGAAGCACATTAAGGTTGCAAGCTGGTTAACAGATAAGGGAACAATGCTTGCAATGTGTGAGTATATATCATTTGCTGGTGAAGGTATGCCTTTGTATATTTAATTGTTCTGAATTGTAATCAAATATCTAATAAGCAGTGTAATTTCCTAGCAATGACATCTGCTGGACTAGCACATGCAGTAACAGCTTATTGGACAACAACATACGAGGAAGAGCTGCTAGAAGAAGGTACCCAATTACCAATCATATCAGTTACAGGTATGCAGCGGCGAATTAAACGTGCTCTGTCAAGTCGATCAGCCCGAGCCTGGTTGTTAAAACTGGGATGGAATTGGAAGGAAGTGAAGAAAGGGATTTACAAAGATGGTCATGAGAGAGAAGACGTAAAGACATATTGCCAAAATGTTTTTCTTCCTCGAATGGAATCCCTGAAATCTAAATTGATGGAGTGGGATGAGAATCTTGGTTCTATTAACACAGATCAACTTATTGCGGCTGGTACGAAGCCTGTTGTATTTGTCACATATGATGAATGCACATTTAACTCCAATGATGGACGAAAGAGAATCTGGATACACGAGGACAAAGTACCAATACGTAAAAAGGATCATGGTCAGGGACTACATGTCTCTGATTTTGTAACTCCAGTGGGAAGATTGGGTGGTGGAGAAGTTTGTGAGATTTTGAAGTGTGGTGGAGATGTTTGGTGGACGGGAGAGTTGTTGTTGAAACAACTGATAGAGAAAGCAATTCCCTTATTCGAAGCATCCTTTCCAGGATGTCAGGCATTATTTGCCTTTGACAATGCTAAGATTCATCAAAAATATGCATCTGATGCACTTCAAGTTACGAGTATCAATCTAATACCTGGCGGCAAAAATACGATCAGCCAATGCGGGATGGATATTTCATCAAGCCAGTAGAACCGAATATAATACATCAACAGTCAATGATGTTACCAGATGGTCAGTTAAAGGGACTGAGGATTGTGTTAGAAGAACGAGGCCTTTGGCCAGAAGGAAGAAGATTCCTTACTCAATGCTTGATTGCTGGGAATAAGCCTGGTGAAAAGAAATTAAATCCTGCATGCCGGCATGCTAGCAATGCAAATTGTTGTGCACGAGCATTACTTTCATCACAACCTGACTTCCAGGCACAAAAGTGTCAAATCCAGGAAGTTATTGAAGCTGCAGGACATCAGATTATTTTCTATCCTGCCTTTCACTGCGAGCTTAACTTTATTGAATATTTCTGGGGCCGTGCTAAGTTGTATACACGGGCTCACTGTGAATATACATTTTCTTCATTGGTAAAAATAGTACCAGAGGCATTGGCCAAAGTTCCAGATGAATTGATCTGGAAATATTATCAAAGAACATTGCAGATGATGGATGCATACAGAAACAACATAGTATATGGTTCTGAAGACTTCAAGCGGCATGTTTATACATGGTATTCATCCCATCGACGTCTTGCAGAATCTGACCTTCATGTATAACTGTTTAATCTCTGTAGTTAATTTTTTATTTGCTAGTTTATGATTGCTTTTTGAACCAGCTTTTAAAAGTATTGTCTATCTTAATTACTTAATATTACAACTTATCATCAAATTAATTTAGCTTGAAATGATTTTTTAGACCTTATCCTGAAGTCTGCATACCAGAGGATAAAATACAAACTAAAGGACAGAAAGATTAGGGTACCCAGATTAAAGGGGTAGGGCAAAGGTTAAATACAGTGTTACGGTTGCCGTTGCAGCAGGAATCGTCACATTTTTGGTGTGAAAGTTGGTATAGTGACTAGCCTTCCGGAACCATACCTTGTGAATTATTAAAAGTTCACCTGCTTGCCATTGTGGTGTCCACGGACGTATTTCCCCGCGCTAGCATCGCGGTCCCCTTAACCGAGCCACGGATCATTTCTCCTCCCCTACCTTCTACTTGTATCCTTCGGTGCCATTCAGACCGGGGTTTGAGGCTCCTAGGATCTTCAGATCCAAACACCAATCCTTGAATATCCAGCAGGATATATCAACTGGCAGTGGCGGGAGTAAGGCTCCGGGAAACGATAAAAGGCTGAAGGGTCCGGCCAACTCACGGACAAATACCCCAGCGCAGCCATTTGAACGGAGCTGGGATTTTACCCTCGCTTCTTTCCCAAGCCCTTCCATTCTCACATCTGTTGTCACGGCTTCCAGTATTGATCTTCGAACCACTTGGATTGGAAACACTACCCAGGGACTGATCATTCTGGATCACTCGGGCTGCCGGCTCTATTGAGCAGGGGAGAGATCCATGAATTTTCCAGGTGACCAGTCGCATGCTCGGCCAATGCGTCAGGGCGAAGATCCGAAGAACCGTCAACCAGATGAGTGCCACCCTTCCCTGTTTCCGGCATGAATTATGGGCAATTTGACCCGTCTATGCACTTCTATTCTTACGACGATGACGACGGTCTCTGCTGACGGTGGCGTCGTAGGTTAATGTGATATGCAGCAGGGAGAGAGGGTATTTGTTACTGCTGAGTTCTATCAGGGCGCAAATCTATTGGAGGCACCGTGAAACTGCCCTCCCCTTGGAGGCCAGATATAACACGTGATGTGGAGTTCTCCAATTGGAAAGATGTTGGGCGAACTGTTCAATAACGAGTTCTAATAGGCCCGATATGGCAGCTCTTTTTCCTTTTTTTCCTTTTTTTCTTGCTCCCTGCTTCTTCCCCTCCCCTCTCTGCTGCGCAATTTTTGTCTCCTGCTGATGGCTGGCCGGAGTGGGGCGAGGTTGTGAAACCCCAAGGGCCATTACTAGCCCAAACGCCTGCAAAGCTCTCTAGTGCGCAAGTGGCAATTTCTGATGCTCCTTTCGGTATCCCCTGAGCCAGCAGAGATGGGTGAGGACAATCAGCCAACAACTGCGTTGCTTATATTGTTTAGTCAATCGAAATGGTTGGGCCTCCGATAGCCATGGAGAACATGATACAGCATCCAGTGCGATGCAGCCACGCGCCCTATCAAGGATTCAGTATCCATTGCTGCCACGGAATTGGAATTCCAGCCGCGACTGCTAATCAGCCTTTATCGTGCCGTCCGATACGTCAATTTTTGGAGAAAAGCGTTCACACAGTAGCACACTGACCATGAGAAGGACCTTTCTCCCCTTCACCACTTTGAACTGTTGATATTCTTTGGTTGCCCTTGCACTACCGACAACCACTACTCGGACCCACCGAACCCTCATCGAATGGCTCTACTATCTGCACGGGGCATTGCTCATTCACCAAAGCATATCAAGGTCATCTTCGCCATTTTTACCGCCGCTTTAAGTTTACTGGTAATGCTTGGGGCCTACTTCTGTTGGAGGCATTGGCCATTCGGAAAATGGCCGTGGATTGGGGATGCTACTGGAGGACGACATGAACGTTACAGAAGCTACAATGAAGGGGCGGATATCGAGAGCAACTCGGGGTCCTCTGTCGGCCATGAGAGGGATATAGCACAATCGCCCTTGGCTTCTCCGTCGCCATTTGGAGGGAGTGGGGAGAAGGAGTCCATGGAGCCCGAGCCTGATATCACCAACAACCCCGATCATACGGATACGGAAGCTCACCATGCATCTCC